AGAATGGTTGTAGAGGTAAAACTAAAAAAATAACTTAAACCTCACTACGTCAGTACCAAAAGTCTAAGGGGCTGTTTGGCAACTTCTGAATGGGTAAGTGCTGAACCAGTAAGAGGTCTGAATCATTAAGTGCTGAACCAGTAAGAGGTCTGAACCATTAAGAGCTAGTATATTGCTTAACTATTCAGAGGCAAATGTCTGATCAATTCAGATAAGAGCTTTTAACCATTCAGACTCTGTATAATACTTAACCATTCAGAGGCAAATCTCTTACCCATTCAGATATCTGAACCATTAAGAGGCTGAAACAAACAGTCTGAACCATTAAGTGCTGAATCATTCAGACATCTGAACCATTAAGAGGCTGAAACAAACAGCCCCTAAATTTACTACTCCCTCTGTCCTAAAACTTTCTTCCCATTTCCCTTTTTTCTCCGTCCTAAAACTACCTTCCCATTAGAAAAAAAAGATAACAAATGACATTAATACCCTCATGTATTTACACCAATTATCTTCTAACTCTATATTTTGAATTATTGTAAAAAAAAATTTGCAAAAAATCTTTTTTAAGGAGGGTAAAATTTGAAGTCAAAACCAAAAATTAAAAATGGGGAAAAGTCAAACTGGGAAGAAAGTTTTAGGACGGAGGGAGTATTTGTTAACCTAGTTTTACTTTTTGGATACCCTTAAATTAACAACAATGCGGTTCACAAACAGAATGGTCACAAACTTCTGAAACTTACTATTTATGTTTTAAATCCTAATTTTAGAATTATTTTACACTACATAATTTTTAATATTGAAGTTTACAAATAGTAAGTTTGTGAAATTTGTGACCATTGTGTTTGTGAATCAAACATCTCTCTTAAATTAAAGTTTTAAAAAGTCACTCAATTTAACGATCACCCAAATAAATATGTAAGAAAAATCTAATTTTCGATAAAAAAAGAATTCATTCTTGTGCGTGTTTGAAATAGTATATTTTAAAATTGGATATATATGTGTGTGTGTGTGTTCTTGTGAGAATGCGATCTTAGAAGAGAAATGAGAATGAATTCGATGCTTTAGATTCTGAGATCTAAGAGTCAGGATTGCATCAAAATTAGGAACACCAAAATGATTTGAAAATGCAACATGTCAAAATGTACCAAAATCCTTTGAAAATGCAATATCTCAAAATCAGAGCGAAAGATGCAATTTGAGCCGTACGATGCATCAGATCCACAAGGTGCATTCTCGTGGAAATCGGCCTGTGTGTGTGTCTATATATATATATATATATATATATATATATATATATATATATATATATTCATTATATATAAATATATTTTTTAAGTCGTTAAAAGAAACTGAAAAGAATGAGAAGGAATAGATGAAACTAGAAAAAGTTAAAAATTATTTTTTTCCCCAAAGAAACAAGGCCTAAATATGTCCAATTAGAGCTGGTAAATTGGTCAGTCAGATCAACTTCGGGTTCAGCCACTTCAGGTCCGAGTTAATTAGGGTTCGGGTTAATAACTGTATGTTCATGACCTAGAGTCACCAGTTTTGAATTGACCCAACGAGTTATGTCTTTGGTTTTAAAATTTTTAAATTCACATTAACACTTGCGTTTTGTATTGAATAAATTTAAAATATTAAAAAACATGTTATAAATCTATTAGATGATTTTATTTTAAATTCTAAACTAATTTTTTGGTATATAAATCAATATGAAAAATAGAAAATGCATAAGTTTAAGAAAAATAAGATATTCAGGCAATATCATTAAAATTTTGTCCGAAAATATAAATTTATATATTAAAAACAAGTAGATTTTGAAAAAGTTTTATATTAGCGGGTCGGTCAGATCAGATTCGGGTTCGATCGAGTTTTATCCATTTTTAGCGGGTCATCTTGAGTTCGGTTAATTTCGGGTTCAGTCATCAAAACCTTGTTCAAAACCCGATGTTTTTGAGTTTGGTTTTGGGTAAAAAACAAGTCGGATCATTTTTTGAGAGATCTATGTCTAATAGGCACCCCAAACTTCTTTTTGTTCAAAAAAACATGGATTTAGAGATCACTCTAGCGGACCCATTGGTGAATGCAGGAAATATTTTTTTGATTTAATATCTAATCTTAACTGGGTTTGATTTGATATCTTTTAATATCACAATTCTCTCAAACACAGTGTTTATATACGTTATCAAGTTAGAAGTTCCACTACCATCAACAACCCACCTCTATCGGCCAGTGACTCCAATATATCATCCCTTACTACTCTCTCCGACTAAAAAGAATGCTTTTATATACATTTGACATAGTTAAAAAAAAAATTAAACCGTGTGATTAAAGATGCTGAATGCAAAAAAAATTAAATCATATGATTAAAGATGTTGAACTACACAATCTTCCAAGATTGAAAACATTAATATTTTTTTGGAACGTCCTGAAAAGAAAAACAAAATATCTTTTCAAAACGAATAAAGTACAATTTTAAAAATCTTTTTAAACACTCTCATTTCAAATTTCACAAAATCATATCATCATTATATGTAATGGTACATACCGTTTTTTTCACAAATAGATTGTTAGCAATATGCACAACACCACCATATATAAATTGACACATCCCCATTTTCTTAGACCACAAGAAAAACACGAATTCAATAATGGATCGGAGTATTTCATTAATTAATTATGTGTTGCATCAATTATTGGGGATTGAGTTTTATCTACCGAATAAATAAAAAGAAATGGGGTTGAGGGTGGGGGCGTGGAAGCAGAGCTCCAGCTGTGAACTTGATCTTGAAAATTTTCATATTTAAATGGTAATAAACCAATCATGTACTTCTCTATTTTACAATTTTATTTGTTTGGGTTTTCTCCTTTTCTCATTAGAAAATAATTTTCATCAAAATTTTTCATTTCAAAAAAATTGGCTAGATTACATATTTTCTCTTTTTAATAAAGTCCATGCACTCGCTTTTCAATTTTCAATATCCTTGTTACTGGGCACAGATACAATGAAAACACAATACGAAATTACGAATACAAGATTAAGAAAATTGAACATTAAAAAACAAAATGCGTGATATTTCAGTAAGATTATTGATATGAAATCATGGGAGTCAATAAGAAACAAAGTGATATTTAATTCAGTTCTTGTTCATTTTGTCAGATGATTTTTAAATTTTGTTCTTCATATTTTTAGTTAAAAATGTCCTGGTGACGGAGGGTAATCCCACGTCATGCTGAGAGTAGGCCTCAGGAATAGATCCCACTACACAGGTAAGCTCAAATGGGTCCCACTGGTTCGGCTCCGTCATGGGGCTCGGTCCAGTGGACTCGGCTCGAGGCGACGAGCACAGCTTCACTCGGTCCAGGGAAGATCTATGCTCGAGTCCACCCCACCATGTGAACGTACCAAAGAGGATTGGACGTCCCACATACCTCCAATTGCTAAGAAAATGTGTATAGGTAATGGATATATTGTCATGTATACTAGGTGCATGCCTTGATTTAGTGTGCTTGGAGGCCCAATTACCGGAAGCCCAAGAAGCTGCAACGGAAATGATAAGGGTGAGAGGAGCAAAGCTGTCCTTATGGGCCGATGGCCTTGTCGGCCCACGGGCTCGGAAGCTGGCCTTTATCAGTACGACAACCTGTTCTCTGTTGGCCCACTGGTTTCATACTTCAAAAAGAATGAATTTTATCCTGGTATCCGACGATAGCATGAAAGAAAGTAAATTGAAATTTAATTACGAAGTATAAATTAACTCATCGAGAGTGAGAAAGGTGACATGCTAGAATCTCATACTACATATAGTTATCTTTTATAGTCGTTGTCAAGAATCAAATAGGAATATTATCTCCTTTTCATTCCTTATCGACTAACTAAGTTGCGCAAAAAAAGAAAAATGACAATTAATTTTTTTCAAGTCATTGAAAATTTAAAAACACTTAGGATCTGTTTGGTATAAGAAATTAGTGGAATTGAAATTGAATTGTAATTAAAATTCCATGGAATTCAATTCCATAGAATTGATTTCTATCAATTTCAATTCATTTTTTGCACTATCAATTCCAAATCCACATAATTTTTGTGTTACCAAACACCATAACTGGAATTAAAATCTCCAATTCCAATTCTGTGGTTTGAATTCCATGTACCAAACGAAACCTTAAAATTTGATTTCAAAAGAACCCCAATGTATAAAAAAGATGATTGAATATCAAGATTAAGTTCCAATTTAATATTATATTTCTGCTTGAATCGTTTGTGCGTCTCGTAAAACACTTCTATCTTACTTAAAATATCTAAAATACCTTCAAAACAACTTGTGCCCGTAACAAAGAAGAAATAGGATGTATTTATGAGGATTTCAGGTGTGAATAAAAGTGACGTGTGAATATGCAAAAAATTAGGGCGGAAAGATTTTATGTAACGGACGTCGTAGATTTTTTTTAAAATTGCTTTATAAGATGTCTTATTTAAGTTTGTTAAACGTCTTTTTTGAGAACAAAGTTCTATAAAATAAGTCACGTCATATGGCTTGGCAAACATTTAATAAGTAGAATGCCTTTATTTCACTTTTCGTGTTGCGATTGGAAAATTGGTCTGTGGTTGTCACAACAAAAATCATATGCTACATGGATAACGTGTTATATAAATTCGGGATTTTATTTTTTCCATAAAATGGTTATACGAGTAATTTTAATCTTGTTTTATTTGAAGAAAATTATATTATTCAAAATTATTTATAACATTTTTTAATTTTATTCCAAACAATTCAACATTAAAAAAACAAATAACAATGCTTAGTTGTAATATTTTCAAAATTAAAAAATTGCCAGGAGAATTTTGTTCTTTTTTCAAAGTATACATCTTTCCCTCCCAACAAAAAAGAAATCCAATTTTTTTAGTCAACTCTTTCAAATTTTTTAGATTTTTGTTGTTTTCTTTCTCACTTTTATAAGCACAATATACAAACATCCATTGACCAAAGAGACACATCCCAAATGTCCCACTCACTAATGCCCTATCAAATCAATTCAAATTTGATGCTCCCCATCATTAAGCCACTAATCAAACCAAACCTTAGGATTTGAAGGGCAATTAAACAAACTTGAGAAGAAAAAAAACAAATGGGGCAAAAATAAAAATTAATTATATAAAAAAAGAACCCCTAGAGATTAGTAAGTAAATAGGAAATGGAAAATTCATTTTCTTGTATAATATGGCATAAAACAGCTAGCTTTAAGCTAATAATTTTGAACCATTTGGAGTGAAGGGTTTTTATAACACTAACCACTCCGGCCGCCGGCTCGCCGGAGACCGCCGCCGGAAACTCCTTACATGAGGCTGCAACTGGAGGTGTTCTCATCACTAAAGGCGGTGCTGTAGTTGTCATTCGGCGGAGGAGGGTATGGGTAGTAAGGGTAAGGCGGCATGTAGTTGACAGCGGGCGGCGGGCGGGCGTACATCATTGGCTGGAACCTCTCGTTCCCGTTCGCCCGCTGCTGGTTCATCATCATCGCCGCCAATTGTTGCTGCTGGTAGGGGTTTCCGCTCGGGATATCGTGCCCGCCGCCTTGGAAGTAGTTCCCGCCAGCGGCGGGAGCGCCGCCGCCAATGGGCGGTGGCGCGGGGAGGCCTTGGACCGCAGGCAGTTGACCCATGGGGAGATTGAAGCCCATTTGGTGGCCCATTTGTTGACCCATTTGACCCATAGGCATACCCCCTCTTGGGCCCACACCAGCACCACCAGCATTCATTGACATCACGTTTGGCATGCCAGGCAACCCATCATTCATCCCTCCACCACCTTTCTTGCCACCGTTGCCGTTCCCATTATTGTGATTCCCACCACCACCGCCACCTCCGCCTCCGCCGTGCCCGGCCTTGTTCGGGCCGCCTCCGCCGTTGTTCTTTCCATCTTGGGGCTTGCCTCCGCCGTTTTTGCCACCCTTTTGAGCAGATCCGGGGCCGGGATTTTGGTTTCCGCCACCGTTGTTCCCGCCTCCGCCCCCTTTCTTACCACCACCCATGTTAACCTGAACAGGGACATTTTGGGCAGCTCCGCCGTTTCCGCCCTTCTTGGCATTTCCTCCACCGCCCGGACCGCCACCGTGATGCGCAGCATTCAACATGTTCTGCATCTGAGCACTCAACATATTAGGCATCTGACCACCGCCGCCGCCGCCCATAGCCGGCTTCATCTTATTGGGCGGAGGCATTTCATCCATCTCATCATCCTCGAAATCATCATCATCATCGTCAAACTCATCGCCCAAATCATCATCATCATCATCGTACTCATCATCACTAAATTCATCCTCCTCAAGAAGGGCCTGCTTCCCGCCCTTCGGAATCGGCGGCGGAACCTTCCCACCGCCGCCGCCGGGCACCATCCGATTCATACCCATGGGGAGTTTCAGATCCTTAAACTGGCCACCGCCGCCGCCACCGCCACCCATCTTCATATCTTGCAAAGCCTTCAATTGCTGCAGCTGTTGAAGCTGCATCTGCTGCTGCTGCTGGAGATTAGGCATCATCATTGGATTCCCCATTTTACCCCCCTGCTGCTGCTGCTGATTTCCATTATTACTAGTATTGTTGTTATTATTATTACCCTTCTGCCCTTGCCCTTTGCTGTTATTCCCACCCTTGCCACTGTCAATCTGCAAATTCTTCATCTGATTGTTCATAGCCTGCTGGTTCTGGTTGTTGTTGTTGTTCTTGGGGGCACCCCACATCTCAGCATGCTTCCCATGTTTGGTCAGCTTCTTGATCAGCGTGGCCGGGTCGGCATTGCCGGAGACCGTCACCTTGCCGGATTCCGAATCAATGCTGATTTTATAAACCCCTGTTACACCACAAAAACAATTCCCAGCACAAATGGGTACAAGAAATTAAAGAATGAAAACCAAAGAGAGTCAAATTCACACCAATTGAACCAGATTCACACTGCAAGACGGGATCTTTTCATTATTGTTGTACTCTAAATGATAAAATGACTGGTGAAAATTTTACTATTTCCGGCAGATAATCCAAGTGAAATGATAGAGATGTAAAAATAAAAATATTAAAAAGATTTTTTTTTTGAATATTTAAATGGCAGTGTATATCCATACCGTCAATCTTCTGCAAGATCTTCTTCACTTTATGCTTGCAGCCATCACAGTGGATATTAACTTTTAGTACACAAGTCTGCATGCACAAGCAAACCATAACAAAACAGAGTCACATCAATGGCAGAAGCTTTAATTACTCGGCACATTGAAATACCCACAAAAGAAGAAAAAAACCCAGCAACTAATAATTCAGAAAATTGATTGATTTAATTCAACAAAATTGGGGAGAAATCAAAAAAAAATCGAACAGAATTTTGAATCTTCACGCCACCGACAGAGCAGAGAAGAAGCTCTGGTTCTTGAAAATGAAAATTAAAGAAGGAACAGAGGGTGGTGATGAGCAGAGAACATACCTGGATCTTCAAGAACTCTTCTTTACTCATATTTAACAAGCCTTAAAAAAGAAACCCAGAGGGGACAAATCAAGAAATGGTATGTGAACTTGTAGATCTGAGATGAAAAAAATTGAATCTTGGAAACCCAGAAGAAGAAGAAGAAAACAATTACTACTAAAAGCTAGCTTCTTTAATTAGCACTGTATATCTCTCCTTTCTTCTTCTTCTTCTTCTTTCTTCTCGGGTTTGGCTAAACAGAATGTGACTCACAGCTGAGTTTAGAGAGAGAAAGAAAGCAGAGAGAAGGAGAAGTTGCAGAGATACAGGGAGGAAGAAGGACTCAGATGCGGTGAAGAGTGGACTTTAACATCTCTCTGGTGTCTGCTTCATCTATTTCAGAGAGAGAGAGAGAGAGAGAGAGAGAGAGAGATGCTACTATTTCACCTTATTAAAGAAGGAAAGAAAGAAAGAAGAGAAAAGTGTGGCACAGAGTGAGAGGAGAAAGAAGGAGGTGGGGAGGTAGTAGTAGTCATATGTGTGGTTGGCTTCTTTCACTCTTTTGCTATGGGGCTGTATTTATTATTGCCATTTTATCTTTACTCTATTTTCTTTTGGCTAAGACTAAAACATAACAATTTTCTCAATATAAAATCATATGTTTTTATTTTTCAATATAGGATCATTGGTCATTATCTATTAGTCATTATTCAACTAAATGTCCAGCATCACTTGGACATTATTCTTTTTTCACTAGTCATTATTAAGTCCTATTTAATGAATAAAAAAGTTTAAGTTCTACATTGAGAAATTACTTATGTTTTAATCCTATTCAATGCAAATTTCATTTTTCTTTTTAGCTTTTCTTCTCTCTTTTTTTTTAAAAAAAAATGTTTAAAATCCACTAAGTTTGAGACCAAATGTTTTACAAACACGTACAGATAATGACCGTTTGTGTTTTATAGACAATGATTAAATAGTTTGTCATTCTTGTCCAGGTAAGAACGATATATCGATCGAGATAACTTACACCATCACTATCAAACTTCTGATGTTAAACATGATAAATTTCTAGCATGACTCTTTCTATTTTAATTTACTCCTATTTAATATGCTCTCTGTCCTTTGAAAATATCCCAGTTTACTTTCATTGAATTTGAAAAAGAAATAAAATTGTACTCCCTTCTAAAATTAATTTCCCATTTTGACTTTTGCAGTCAAAGTTTTAAAACTTTGACTGCATATTACGGAAGAAATATAATGAATTTTCATATAAATTTAGTATCAATAGATTCATTTTGAAACATAGTTTTGAAATATATTATTTAGAAAATATATATTCATATAAAAATGGAGATATTAATGGTCAAAATGCCGTATTGGAAACCATGAAAATTCAAATGAAAAGTTAATTTTAGGACAGCGGGAGTATGATAGAGGTTTATTATCACCTTGGACATGCACATAATTGTGTGTTTTAGAAGAGTTTGTTTTATGGTTTTCATAATAGTCAAAATGTGAGCTAGTGATGAGCTCTCATTTGGTTGTAACCAAAGGAAAGAATATACGGAGTATAGAATGTAAAATGGCCTGGATCTATAATTTCAGTTAATGAGAAATTCACATTTTTAGTTTTTAAACCATATACTCCAAAGAAAAAAATAGAGTTACTATTTGAATAGTACCCAGTACTATTTTTCTATACTCACACCCTTCTCGTGTTTAAAAGATTAGCACAATTTGACTTTTTTTGATCAAACTGTAACACTCTTTAAAATATGGTTTTGAAATATCAAATTTTTAAAAAAATTTAATTATTTTAAACGATATCTAATTCATAGTCAAAGAGTGTCATAGACCAAAAAAAACAAAATGTGACAATCTTTTAAGAACAAATGAAGTATGTTTTTAATGATAATTTGATTAATGATAATATAGTCATGCATATTTTATTTTATAGAATTTTCAATACAAATTTTAAATATGTAATTTCATTTTTAAATTTTTACACAAAATATAAAGTAAATTTAAAACAAAATCAATCAAATATCATAAATAAATCTGTGCTCATAATTGAAAGGAATTGAAGCATTTGGAAAAAGAAATTGAATAACATTGGTGTCACTTGTTCCTAAAAAGAAAGTGTAACCAATGATGGAACAACAATTATTAATGTTTGGGTATATACCTTCCCGGAGAATTAGGGCGAGGCTGGTGGATCAATTCAACTTAATGGGCCTGCATTATTGTTTATTATAACCCGGGTATTATTATTACTGGTGTTGTAAAAAAGTAAAAGTAAAACCTTTAATGGGTGAAAAAAAACGTTACGTTTTCAGACGTTATAGTACGCCATGGATCGGGACGCAGCGGCGGGACTTCCTTTTACTTCCTAAGTTTACCAACTCAAAAAAAGTTCTCTCAGTTTACGGCTTCTTGGACAAGCTATCCCATTACTTGTCGTACTAAACCATCAATCTTCTATTCCATGTTTCCTTTCACACTCAAAAAAAAAAACTATATTTTCATCTCAAAATATTTTTTTTTGTGACTTTTATATGCTCTTAGTTATTTTGTCCCAAATTGATGTTTCACGTTTGACTAGACACGATATTAAAAAAGATTTAAAATTGTTTGAGTTTCTGTCGTTTCAAATCTACTCTTCATTCTTTTGCGGCTTTTTGTATGTTACGAGGCCCAACTTGACCGTTGAGAGTAGGGATGTGCAATCAGGGCATCATGGCCAGGGTGAGGACGTGGGGACGACACAACAAGTTCGGCGTAGTAGACGTGAAAAGCAAGTCGTGGCTTGGCAGCGAGATTATGAAGTTTGATTTATTTAATTATTAATTATTGTAATATATATAGATTTTATTAGGTGAATTATTATAAGCTCCTTATAGTGTTTCCTTACAATCCTTTACATCAATGCTTTTATTAAATTGTCAAAATACATAACTTAGTTAATTAAGGTTCAAAATAGGGGTTTTCTTTTCAAAAAGATGTATGGCTTCCTTGAAAATTAACAGAATAATAAATTCTAGCTACAGTTACCGCTCGTGTAGGGCCCGTGGAAGAACATATTTCGACCCTCAATCAATCCATGTTGTAGATGCAACAAGGCATGGAGACAAGTTTCACATGTCTGGAGGCGTTGATGTGTGCCAATGTGCCATCTTCATCTACCTAGGGCTCAGGTAAGACGTACAACGCCAGTCACCAAGGGCCACACCATGGTGATCATTCTTTCATGCAAAAGCCTAAACTTGAATCGTCAAGATGTGATGGAACTAAACTCGTACGTTGGTTGTGTTGGTTGTATAAGGTAAATGACTACTCCACCTTTTTAAATACTTCTCGCGAAGAACGTCTACGTTAAGTTGCTTTGACATTTGATAGCGCGATAGTGGACTCGATCTGTTGGCGCATGAATGGGAACATGATTGTCGATTGGGGGTTTTGTGGCAAAATTTAAACTCCACTTTGATCCGTTGCACTATGTGGGTTATATAGGGCAACTTGCAAAGCTTCGCCATACAGGGGCGGTTATGGATTATCAAACATCCTTGAAAATATTTTCGAACAAGTCACAGAGGCATCCAAGACAATCTTGATATCCTTATTCCACTTCGGGTTGAAGCCACACTTAAAAAATGAAATTGGTCTCCTCAACCCCACCACAATGTTTGACTCCTTTGCGTTGGCATGTCAATTGGAAGCAAAACACTGGGCCCTATTGTAAGTCGTGGCACATAAACACCAACCACTGTCTTTGCCAATCAAAATCATCATGTCCAAGCTGATGCTCACACCATGTAATTCGGTTATACCACTCTGGTCCTCTAACTAGACTTGTGCAAATATAGGACCCACATCACACCATCCCATCAGATATCTATCTCACACTAAAAAAGATGAAAAAAAGATGTGAAAGACCTATGCTATAATTGTGACGAGAGGTCGCGCTCTCACTAGTGTGGTTGTGTGTTTTTTCTCTTTGAAGATAATGAGGATGAGGATGTGAGGCAATCCCAGATCGGGTATGTGACCTGGGTGGCGCGCATCACAGCGAGCCTCGTATTAGTGGCGATATATCTAGTCTTTACCCACTGGCCAATATGGCATTTCCTTGCTCCCTACGTCTATTTGGGTGCGTTGGCTCTCATAAAGTGCATGTACTGATCGATGGTGGAAGCATGTAAAAATTTATTCATCCTGAGATTGTCAGTAAATTACAACTCCCTATTACATTTGTTTTTCTATTTCGAGTATACGCGAGTAATGAGGATTACCTCCTATGTGATCAACAATGTTTAAGTGGTCGACCTTCACTTGCAAGGCCCAACTTTTCCTTTTGACTTGTTCGTTCTCCATATTCACGGTCTAGAGATTGAACTCGGGGTTCAGTGGTGGCAACAATTAGACCATGTAGCACAAGATATCTCAAGCATAGCTCTTATTATGGAATTCATATGGAATAGCCATCATATTGTGAGGCGACAACTTTTTGCCTAAGTCGGCTCCTTTGCATAACCTCTCTTCGTTGCAAACTTTGCAAGTGGTGGCACAACATTTTGAGCTTCTTTATGTGCAGGACCAGTCCCCTAATACCCCGTCCGCGCACAAGGAGGCCTTACCAGCGTGCCCCCCTAACCTTTTCATTTTGTGTTTGAGAAGTCCATGACCTTGCCACCTCGAAGAGTGTTTGATCACACGATAATCTTGCAGCTAGGGACGCTGCCCATTAATGCCCACCGTACCGATACCCACGTCTCCAGAAAGATGAAATAAAGTGTTTGGTTAAAGAGACTCTTGATCAAGGCTTTATTCGACTGAGTCGAAACCAATTTACCTCCCCTGTTTTGCTCCTAAAAAGGATGGGACATACCATTTTTGCATTGATTATTATTGAGCCCTCAATGTTCTTCATGTTCCCCACCACTCTCCCATCCCATTGGCTGATGAATTATTTGTCGAGTTGGGACACACACGTTTTGTCACTAAGCATGATTTCGTTCAAGCTACCACCAACTTCATATGCACAACAAAAATATCTATAAGATGGCCTTCTAGATTCATAATGGTAATTTTGAATTTGTGGTGATGCCCCATTCACATTTCAGACATGTATGAATAACTTGTTTGGGCCCTACTTAAACAAAATGACAATGTTAAGACTATAATATATAAAATTATCATGACTCAATTTGAGAATTAGAAAATGCTTGGTGGGAGAAACCATTTGGTGATAAAAAAAATCATGGGAAATGATACTTACAATCTACTTTTTGTCAACTCCAAATTATATTACAATGTGAGAGAGATGAATAACGCATTTTGGAATATCGAGCATTACCCAAAATAGAAATTCCTTTTATCACAAGGATGGGATGTCAAGACTATCAAACACTCTAGTGATGTTGAAACAATGAGTTTAGATGCTTGAATGAGAAATTTAAGAATGACTGAATTACACATGAACAAAGATATTAAACGTCATAATTAAGTCAGGCAAGTAGATAGTTTTTCACGGAATGAATATATACAAAATGTGACAAATACTTCTTAGACGTGGTATCCCATACATCCAAGAAACAAAATTGGCATCTTCTTTTCATTCATTTTCTTTCATCCAAACAATACATTTTCTTCTTACCTATCTCTTTATTTTACTAACTCTTTATTTTATTTCTTTTCATTTTCTTTCATAAACCAATGTTTGAATACATAAAAACCTTTTTTTTGCGGGATCAAAAATTTGACAACCAAGCATAACATAATATATAGCCACGTCCTCCAACTAGTCTGTTAAAAGCTTGAGATCATAAATATTTGCACGTACCCAAAATAATTAAATCCATTAATAGAACAATTTCTTTATTGTTTTTCAAGTTTCTACTTTTCATCTTTCACACTTCTGTTTTGTACTTTGTGGGCATTGGTTTAAAGGCTTTTAAGGTCAGTCAGTAAAAGGAGTTACACAATGGAACGGATTTTAGCTGATGTATGGTTATTAATTACTCCAGATTTCGTATCAACTCTGGTCAGAATTAATTTATTACTTTCTCCACTAAATATTCCCTCCGTCCCAAATTATTTGCAACATTTCGAACGACGTGCAAAATATCATCTTTTTTAAAACTATTATATTTTTAAATTGGTAGAGTAATACAAAATAAAAATTACACCATTCAAAAGTACCCCGGAGTATATGAAAAGGTTTACAAGACAAGATGTGACAAGAATGTTTTATTTTATCAAATGGTCAACCAAAACGAGTAAACAAGCAAAAGTTATTGCTATGCCAAAACAGTAACCATGACATTCTTTCTGGGACGGAGGGAGTAAATAAATTTAAAGCATAAAAAAATAAAAAAAAATTGTATTGAGAGTAAATTACATTCTTAGTCCCTAAATTTACAAGATTAATTTTTTTAAGTCTATAGTTTTCAGTTTTCACACAAATGTGTGTTTAAATATTGTGTCACATTATATTAGCCCTTCAAGTTGTGATTTTTTGTCTCTTCATTTTTGACCTAACGTCACTACTTGTCCATGTCAATCATATCCCAATGTCTCCCATTGTCAATGTTAAATGTACTCCCTATTCTATTCACATTCACATTAGTTCAACAAATGGTTGAAAATTTAAAAAAAAAAGGTTGAATTCTTTTTAAAGGTTAATAATCCCTAGTTCGATTCATTTTATGTTAATAATCTTAAATTTGGTGCATCTTTCGCATCAAATTAATTTTTAATTTTTTAAAGATTGTTTTGAAATAAAACTAATGCTTTATTTGGTATACAAAATTCAAACCATGGAATTGGAATTAAGGACGACAGTTCCAATTTTGTTGTTTGGTAGTACAAAAATATGTGAATTTGGAATTCGTAATGTCTAAAATGAATTGGAAATGGAGAATTATATTCTATCTAAATCAATTCCATAAAATTTCAACTCTCAATTTAATTCTAATTTCGTCAATTTCGTGTACCAAACGGACCCTAAAATTCTTCTTAAAAAATATTGAATGCAAGTTCGCATCATTTCTCTCTATTTGGTATAAATCTTAAACGTTTAATTTTATATTTTCAATAATTTTATGAAAAAAAAGAGAAAGCTAATTTGAGAGAAACATAATTTACATCAATAATTTTAAAGTCTGCTCCATGAGTGCAAACATTTTCTAAGTTTGACAATGATGAGTTTTTTGGTGAATTTGTGGCGACCTCAATTGGTGTTTGGGCAATCACAAAAACATGTGCATGAAACAAATTTATGCTCCCAATTAATATATTCCTTCTGTCCACAAAAAAAGGGAAAATAGCATCAGTGCTCCTCGTGGTTTACAAAAAGAGCGCCAAAACCTTCTCTACTTTCAAAAGTTATTTATAAAACCCTTGTGGTTTTTAAATAGTGCACAGATGCCCTCTCTTGCCTATTTTTAAACATAAAATGACATTTCTACCCTTTATTTTTCTCTATCTTCAAGTTTCAATCTTTAATTTACAATTTTTGTTATACAAATAAATAAAATAAAATATACACCTTCTTTCTCAAATTAAAAAATTTCATTTATTTCATTTTCAAAAAAATATTTTTTTTAGAAAATGTTATAAAAGAAAATGAAATAAAATACACTTTTTCATTATAAGTAAAAGTAAAATAAACAAAATAAAAATTAGATTACATATACTCACTGTATCTCTAATTAAAAATTTTAACTTATTTGTTTTTTAAAAGTAAAATAATTTTTTAAGGACTTTAAAAACAGAAGAATAGAAAAATGAAATAAAACAGGGAGCTAAAGAAAAAGGTTGTTTTATATATTTTTCTTTCTTTTCATTACCTTTTTCAATTATTATTTTTTACTTTGTACATAATATTTTATTTTTATTTTTCTTTTGTAACATTCTCCAAAAAAAATCTTTTGTTTTCGAAAATACATTATGGAAAATTTTAATTTAAGATGACAAGCGTATATTTTATTTTATATATTTGTATAATAAAAGAACATAAAATTGGGAAAATTCAAGATCGAGGAAAAGAAAGGGCATAAATGTCATTTTTGCTTTAAAAATAGGTAAGGGGGGCATGTGTGATCTATTTAGAAACCATATGGACTTTACAAATAACTTTTGAAAACAGTGGGGGTTTTGACGCCCTTTTTGTAAACCACATGGGGCACTCATGCTATTAGCCCGTCCAAAAAATAATCTTCATGTCTTGACTTTACACATAATTTAAGAAAAAGTAAAAAATATTTTTTAGACTTTTTATATTTGTTCTTGGGACATTATAAATAGTGAAATAAAATGTAGGTATGGATAGTAACTAATGAGTAAAGTGAGATAGTAAAGTTGTTTAAAGAAAAAGTATTTGCCAAAAAAAGAAATAGGATGATAATCTATAGACGTACAAATAAAGAAAGTAAAAATTGAAATTATGGGCGGAAGGATTACGATTATTGATGTGAAAAATAAAATCTGACTCTACCTTCTTAAAGTGAAATTACCTCTATATACAGTTAAGTGATTCGAAGTACCCCGTATATATTTATACACCTGCTTAATAACTCGTAATAGTCGAGTTTTCAAGCCGAATCACGGCTCATTTACGAATCGAGTTCAGACTGTTTTCCAAAACAAACGAGTTACCAAGTTTGAGCAGGGCTCGTTTAATATAATACGAGTAACACTATTCCATCATACTCCCTCCGTCCCAAAAAGATTTACACGTTTCAAAAAAATTGCGTCCCACAATCCTTTACCCATTTCTATTAAAAAACCACTTTTACCCCTTACTTTTTCAAACCCTACCTATCACATCATACCTTTTTCCTAATAATCTACACATCACATCCTACTTTTACCCATCACATCAAGGGTATTTTTGGAAAGTCAACACAAAATTATTCCTCCCTTAATTTCAACTTTAATCAAAATGGGTAACACTTTATAGAACGGAGGGAGTATGATCCAACAAGTACGAATTCGGGCTGATACACACAAACACACACACATGAAGAAATACATGAAAAATAGTGACAAGATTTCCTCGATAGTAATCAAAGCGAGCAACTACAAGTTGACTTTAGTGACATAGGGAGTAATAACATTGTTCTCAAATGTTGAGGAAAGAAAGTGTTTGGCGGTGGTGAAATGAGGACATAAAAAATATAAGTAAATATATTCATTTCATTTTTTGTTACTTGTGTATGTATGTATATGCAACCATGTGCCACAGGGAGGATGAGGGGCAAATGGTCAAACTTTGATGACAAAGAGAAATTGGATCCAATCATAATATGAAGTCCATTATTTCAAGTTTCTTCTCCTTTTTTAACGACGCGGTTTCACTCGTAAAGATATAATTTCATAGACGAAATTATGTTACAAATTTTATCAGTGAAACTGTGTAGTCTATTCGTGAAAAGTTAAAACGAGTAAGTGTTTCAGGTCATATGTTTTCATTGATTCATGACTAATTAATGTATTCTTTGCATTCGGATATGATGTATTTGCCCGCTTTCTTGTTTTCGTTCACTCAGGTAAACAGATAAAATTGTTTTTTTTTGAGACAGAAGGAGCAAAAGATTAGTGCATGTCAAACCTAAGACCTTTAAATTATGAATGAATGAAGTAAAAAAGCAATTAAAAGTAATGATATTTTGATGGAAAGACAAAGGAGCAAAGCTCGCCGTCTTGAGCAGTAGAGTGCCCCAAAGCGTAGGGCACGTTGCCTCACAAGAGGTTATTTGGAATTTCTCAAACACACACACACACATGCATGCTCTTAATTAAAAGTTGTTTGGATGTGTTCTTACTTTGTAGACTACTATTTGCCTTATAGGACACTTTTTTGACTTCCCAAGTCCCCCCTATAATTGTGGCGCTAATTTGCACCTATCCTTGTTCAAATTTTAAAAATAGTGAATGATAACCGAAAAAAAAGAGTTAGATGTTGGAAGAAACTGGAAGAAATTAAAAGGAATTAGTAGAATTGGAGAAAATTGGAAGAAACGGGAAAGAATTGTAATAAACTAGAAAAACTTCAAAAAATTGAAAAACCTAAAAAAATTTAAAAATTTTAGTGTATTTTTATATTATTTTTGATGGAATATATGATGGGGGTAAGGATAACTAGTTGGGCAATATGATACTTGAGTGGAACCACATTAAAAGATTGATTTCAATCGATTAGTTAATTGAATTCAAGAGCATATATATCGATTATTTTACTCTTGAACTTCCGATGTGGGATGACACTCTAACAATTCTCATTCTAATTCTTGTTGTTATAAATTATTATTATCATCATCATCATCATCATCATCAACAACAACATCATATTATCTTAATTAATGCCTTTAAGATAAAAAAGTATTGTTATTTTTCATACACAAAAAATCTACTTTTGCAAAAAAAATTAATTTTAATATAAAGTTAGAATAAATATCAAAATGCTAAATTTTAAAAATTATCGTGATTACATTGCACCTCAATTTATTTATGAAGCATTTATTATAAATAATATATTTGTAATTATATTTTATATATTACAAGATTTTGTTTTAAATATCAGACATGTCACATAATGTAATCAAATCTATTTTTTCTTTCATGATTGACATTTTATTTTCATTGTAACTCCTATTTTTAGAATAAAGACATAGAACTTTTATTTTTGTACATTTTTTCGTGTTTTACTCCTATTTTAGTCTTTTTCTCTAAACTACTTTGACTTTCAATTTTTTTTTTAAAATTAGAAAAATGAAAAAAATTGAAATAAATATAAATGATAAAAAATTAAGTAATAAATAGAAAGGTGAGGGGTCTTATATAAAATTAGATTAATAAAACATTCTAAGTAACTATTTTATCCATAATTTTTTAATATAGTTTAAAATATTGATGTTTTTCTATTTTATCGCGTAGATTAATATACAAAGAAATTGTCTTATTCATATTAAAAATTGAAGAAGCAATAATAATGGGTGCAAATTGTAAAAATAATGAGATAAGCAAATAATTTATAAACTATAGGTACTAGGTAATAATGATAATAATCACATTTAAAATATGTCGTTTTTAGAGTAATTGGTTGGTGGTAGAAAGAGTTTGAAAATGAGAATAGTTGGAAGAAAATTGAATGAACTGGAAGAAATGAAAGAAAATTGGAAAGAATGGAAAGAAACTAGAAGAAACTGAAAATTAAGAGTTTAAGCCATAAAGAACAAACTCTTAAAAGGTAAAAGATGGAGCTTGCACTTCGTAATTGCAGAACTACGCTTACACACACAAATATCAAGAATCAAAGTCTTTATTATTTTATGGTCATCATTGTCTTAATAACTGGGCAGCGCATACCGACTTACGAAGTAATATATAAAATACATAGAAAAGATTATATCAGTGTATCCCGATAATATTATATCATAATCAATTTTATTGTTACTCTAACATCAATGCCTAACTCTACATTATTTAATGTAAGTTCTTGTATTGATTGTCACACAGATTTATATAGAGTGGTCTTATTAGTTGACTTCTGCAAATACTCATAAAAAGTATTCCATCTGTCTTACAAAACTTTTCAGGTTTTTTTTTTAAGAAATTTGAAGAAAGTGCATTCTGGTGTTAGTTTTCCAAAAATGTATTGAATGTGATGTGTAAAAATAAATGTCATGGGCATATTAATAGTGAAAAAGTATGATGTCATAGGTATGTTAAAAATTTGTAGGATAAAAGTAGTTTTTAATAGATAAAAAATATTTTTTGGGACAGATGAAAAAGGATAATAGAAAAGTTTTGTGAGACAAAGTATGATGTTATACTTTAAACACTTGCTCAAAATAGTATTCTTGAAAGCAAATTTTTTGGTGATCCTTGAATTCATATTCAGGTTTATGAGCCTTACTTCACATATAGACCCAAGAAAAGTGTGAAAATGTGCACATACATGACCTAAGAATTATAGAAACGTAACTCATTTTTGAATTGTTTGAATATTATGCTTGTTAAAATTTACTCCCTCCGTCTTAAATTGTTTACAATGTTTTGAATAATATGTAAAATATCATCTCCCTTAAAATTATTTTATTTACAAATTTGGTAGAAAATAAAAAGTATAGATTACAAAGTCCAAAAGTGCATCAAAATTTCTACAAAATAAAATGCGACAAAAATATTTTATTTTACTAAATAATTAACAAAAATGAGTAAACAAATAAAAGTTATTGAGAGACTGAAATAGTAGTTGTGATATTCTTTTTGGGACGGAGGGAGTAATTTTTAATTAGCAATATGCTGATCAAAATGATTATATTTTAATATTTGACAAAGTTAATTACCAATTGATGTAGAATTAAAAAGTACAAATTGCATATTTAAAAATTATATTAAAAGTTGTACAAAACACGAGGTGTTAATGATATTTTATTTTATCAAATAATAATAAAAACATGTAAATGAACAAAAATTATTGAGAGACCATAATAGAAAAGGTGTAAATCATTTTGGGGCGGAGAAAGTATCTTTTAACGAGCATTAACTCTTGATCAAACATGTAACTACAATCTTAAACTACAATCCGTTATTTCGTGTAATGTGATATCTGTTAAGCATTGTTTTGAAACCACATCCATAAATAATGTTCTTTTTAAGGAATCAATAAATAATTTTGATTAGAAGAAACATTTTTTATTGAGGTTAGAAGAAACAAATTAAAGGCATTTGAAATAAAAGTTGCTTCCTTTTAAGAAAATTATGAATTCTTTTTAAGACAACCAATATAAAAAAAAGTTGAAAAAGTAATAGCTTAATGCCTTAATTAACATGGGACTAAAGGTGTACTCGGAATACAATAAATCATTGTATCATGTTATTATGACATCTCATTCACATGATCAGAACAATTAAACTCTTCATTTACTTGCTTTCAACACTCCCTTTCCTCATTATTTACAACTTTCTTACTCTTTTTCATTATATATATATATATATATATATATATATATATATATATATATATATATATATATATATATATCACTTTAAGACATTTTTTACTTGATCCTTATTAAAGAGAAATATGCATAAATAGTTCTCGTGATCTACCATAAATAGTAGCTATATTTTAGGGTAATATTATTTGTTGTGAGAGGTGGAAGAAGATTCTTCTATTCTTTTAATCACGAAGATGAGAGGAATTTTGTCAAATTAGCTTCGTTATTTTATTTCATTATTAACATTTTTGCATAGTATGCGCATATTTTGCGTACTTCATGTTTACTTAAAGAGAAGTCTTACTGAAAAGATAATATGCCCAACAGTTCTTTGATTATAGAGCTATTTTACAACTTTTAAAAATAAAAAGATTATTTACCAACTTACGAAAGACCACGAAGATTGTTCATGCATTTGACTCATCATTATTAGTTTGGATATCACTATGTTTTGTTAAATCAAAATTATAACTCAATTTATCTATGCGGGGCGTCACAAATGGGTTCATCCTCTTTTTCCATTATTACTCTGAATAAAGCCCATTTTATTCAACTTACTTTTATTACTCGTTACTTATTTTCATGGTTAACCTCCAATATTAGTCCTTCAACTTTATCAGTTGTGCATGATTGGTCCTTCAAATTTCAAAAGTATATAAATAATTCTTCAACTTTATAAGTTATGCATGTTTGATCTTTCAAGTTTCAAAAGTTCATAAGTAATCTTTCGAGTACACGTTAGTCCTCCAGATAAGGTCCTTTTGATGGTAAACGTTAAAAGTTTAATAGAGTACTAGCTCCATATAATACGGAATAGTCGTACCTAGTAGAATTTACTCGTATTATATGGAACTAGTATTCTATTTAGCTTTTAATATTTACTGTCAAAAGAATCTCATGTGGAGGACTGACGTGTACTTGAAAGAC